CCGAAACAGAATATATTCTTCACACTATTCTGGCCTCCTCAAGAGATCTGTCTCTCCTCTCCTAAGGAACCGTGCCTGAGAGATCGTAGCCGTTAGGGGTAACCTTATTAGCCTTAAAATGACACGATAACTGGTGACCCCGACGTGTCCTTACAATAATGGTGACTTCCCGACGTGTCCCCCACACACGCGATAACGCATTCAACTTTCTTTATTTTGACATCTGGTATTGTAAGCTCCTAAGAGTAGAAACTACTGCCTATTGAAAAGGAGACTGTATCTCGTCTCTACTTCCGTTTGATGTCTGGGCCGACTCCCTCCCTCCCGCTCTCAGCTGTTATTTCTTACCCTTTTTGCTGGCTAGGACGAATACAGGGGAGCAGCGCGGTCACTCTGCTACAAAGTCCTCGGCGACATGGTGGAGGCCATCATAGGCGCTGTTTACATTGACTGCGGTGGTTCCATGCCGATTATTATCAGCGTCATCTACAATCTCCTTGATCGCGAATTTGGTAGGTTTTTTCTACCCATCCTTTCACTATCCCTTCGCATTTTGCCTGCCATAGCTGCTTTTATGCTTGATTGGAAGGTAGTGTCGAAGGTAGTGCTTACTTCGTTTTAATTCTCACTATCCTGAACACGTCTATTTCTAGACAGTCAGAATATCTGCCGTATAAAGGTAGGCCATATACTTGCTGTCGTTAAGATGATGGCATATTCGTTGTATAAAAATGGAGCCCTGAATGTGTTCTGGAGTGTTAGACAGACAGGAACCTCTACCAATGAGACTCTCTCGGCTGTGGGTTCAGAACTCAAGGAACCTCTAGGAGTACCTTTCATCGGTATCTCGCGTGTAACGAACGTTTTTAACATGGAATCGCATTTCCTCCTTTAGATTTTGACTGCGTAGCGCGTGCACTTGGCATTGGACTACTTTAACGATTTAAGTGGTATAACTGAAGTTCTAGTAGGTTTCTCCTTCAGGGTAAAGAAGAGTGTGCGATGAACTTCACTGCTATCAGTGATTGGATAACAAACCCGGAAAATCAATCAAGTTTTTTATGTAAGAAAAACAACATCTAACACGATTAGTTTAACATCCCAAGACACCTTTTTCTGAAGAACAAAGGCAAAGCGCAGTTCGACGTCACAAGTTGCCATGATATTTTTTTTTGAAAATGTGCAACTGGACATTTCAGACGTCCAAGGTACCACTTTACCATTGGCTGATTCCATTCCTTGTGTGCCTGTCTCGGCAGTTATCTCTGATGGTTGCTTCGAGACTGGATCAAAATGATTAGACGAGTGACCGACATTTTCGTTCCGACGGTAGTGCTTCCACGCTCAACACATACTACCAGAAACTTTCCTTTCATTTTGTTAGCTTTCCTCCCTCCACCTCAATTGCGTTATGTTAGCAAATAATTTGGGATTCCACTTTCTGGTCAGTTAAGACACGCTTGTGTCCACTGCGTAGCCTGCACCCTCACTACTGAATTTGACCCCATCACGCCACTTTGTCTTGCAGTCTGAGCCATAGTCCTTGAGGAATTTAAGGATGACATAAATACTCTGCAAGCCATCTTTACTGTTACTGGATGCACGTTCAAGCTGTACCTTGACTTTCGGCACAGCATCGACCGTCAACGCTTACCACGGATGAAAAGTTATCAATCTGGGTAGCAGCTGCTTCGTAATCCAGAAACGGGGAGAGTCTCGTCAACTATGGTGTAGACGGATCAGCGAAAGAAACCGAATTCCCTTCCCTTCAAATTTATTCTGCTTTTTTGTAGCACCCTGGTGATAATTTATTGAAGGTATAGTTCGTTTATCTTGAATTATGGAAGTGCGTTTGTGCAAGTTCCCAGAAGAATATAGCATCAGTTGTGCTGATCAGGCATTTTTTTTTTGCATTTTTCTGAAAGCTTTTGGCCTGGCAGCTTTTCGCCTTTCGTCCCATTGTCTCTTCACATGCTGTTGTGCATTTAATGCCATCTAAAACAGGAGTCTAACCACATTCTAGTGTCCCGTGTCTTGTCAGAA